ACAGAAAGGTTACAAGAATACATGCATAATCCCTCTATCTTGCAGCTATTTAAACTCTAACTTTCTCTCCAAACAGTTCTAACAACTAACTAACTTGCTGACTCAGCAAGGATACAAGTCCAAATTTATTATTCTAAAAATTCTTCGTAACAATGCCTTCCTCTTGGAAGCATCCTTGACCTCAAGGATGAAATGATGGATACTTCTTTTTAAGGTCATAGTAAAATTCCCACGTAGAGTCTTCTAGTAGTTTATGCTTCCATTTAACTAGTACTTTGGTTACAACTACTCCCTTCCTTTTTACTGTCATCCTGTCCAATATCGCTTCAGGTTCCTTTTCATAAAATGCATCTTCAACTTGAAATGGTAAATTTGATGATGCTGTTGTATTGCCAATATGTTTCTTAAGCTGAGAAACATGAAATACATTGTGCATTTTTGACTGTAGAGGTAATTCTAATTTATAAGCCACTTCTCCAATTCGATCCAGTACCTTATAAGGGCCAAAAAATTTAGGACTTAATTTAGCGTTGCTCCTATAAGCCACTGATACTTGTCTATATGGATGCAGTTTCACATAGACCAAATCCCCTATCTGATATTGCTTATCCTTTCTATGTTGGTCAACAAGTTGCTTCATTCTCTCTTGAGCTCTTTTCAAGTGAAATTTGAGCAATTTAAGCATCTCTTCCCTTTTTGATAAACTCCTATCAACCAACTCAATCTTGGATTCACCTGGTAAGTAAGGAAGATAAGCTGGAGGTGGTTGACCATACATGATTTCATATGGAGTAGCTTTAATGGCTGTGTGGTAAGTGGTATTGTACCACCATTCAGCTAAAGGCAGCCATTTACTCCACTGATGGGGAGTATCTGCACACATGCACCTTAGATAAGTTTCCAAACACTTGTTCACTATCTCGCTTTGACCGTCCGTTTGAGGATGGTAGCTTGAAGAAAGCTGAACCTGAATGCCTTGAAATGCCATAAATTCCTGCCAGAAACTGCTAACAAATACTGGATCTCTATCACTAGTTATTGAGCTTGGGCAACCATGCAACTTAAAGACATGATCCATGAAAGTTTGGGCTACATCACTGGCTGATCCATTTGAGGATGGTAGCTTGAAGAAAGCTAAACCTAAATGCCTTGAAATGCCATAAATTCCTGCCAAAAATTGCTAACAAATATTGGATCTCTATCACTGGTTATTGAGCTTGGGAAACCATGCAACTTAAAGACATGATCCATGAAAGTTTAGGCTACCTCACTGGCTGTATAAGGATGTGATAATGCCATAAAATGAGCGGATTTGCTCAATCTGTCAACCACTACAAATATCACTCGTTTTCCATAAGAACTCGGTAAACCCTCAATAAAGTCCATATTAATGTGCTGCCGAATTTGTTCAGGAATTGGAAGGGGTTGCAACAGTCCAGGCGATGCAGTAGTCACACTTTTGCATTTTTGACAGGTGGTACACCTAGATACAAAAGTTTTAACATCTGATGACATACCCTTCCAATACACCACTGACTTGACTCTTTGCATAGTAGCACCAATACCAGAATGACCTCCAATAGCAGAACAATGTAGCCAATTCAAAAGATCGTTTCTGAGCTTCGCATCCTTTCCCACTACTAATTTACCCTTTCTCCTCAATTCTCCTGAATGCCAAGTATGATGTTTGTGGGAGGCAGCATTAATTTGCAATTCACTAATTAATTTTTGGATATTAACATCACTTCTGAGCTTCGAATCCTTTCCCACGACTAATTTACCCTTTCTCCTCAACTCTCCTGAATGCCAAGTATGATGTTTGTGGGAGGCAACATTAATTTGCAATTCACTAATTAACTTTTGGATATTAACATCAATCACCCATGAATTCTTAATCCTGTCCACCAAATCAGATTGTAATTGATGAGTAGTCAAATTTTTGCATTCCACATAATCCTCCCCATGCTCGATTCTAGATAAAGCATCAGCTGCAACATTTTGATGACCATGTTTGTATTCAATGGAGAAATCAAATTCCATTAGCTTAACTAACCACTTCTGCTGAAAAACAGTGGTCAATCTTTGATCCAGTAAGTATTTTAAACTGTAATGATCAATTTTAACAACAAAATGTCTGTTGAGAAGATAATGTCTCCACCTTTGTACTGCAAATACTACAACCAGTAGTTCCTTTTCATAAGTAGATAAAGATTGTTGCTGTTGGTTTAATACTCTGCTGATGTAAGCTAATGATCCTACATAAGTACTACTCCAATGCTGAAACTAGAAGCATCTACCTCCACAATGAAAACCTTATTCCAGTCGGGTAAAGCCAAAACATGTGCATTACTTAATAAATCTTTAAGCTGCTGAAATGCCACCTTAGCCTCTTGAGTCCAAACAAAATTTTCTTTCTTTAACATATCACTTGAAGGTTTCGCCACAACACCAAAACCCTTCACAAACTTCTATAATAACAAGCTAACCCCAAAAAACCTCGTAGTTGTTTGATAGTTAGTGGTAGTGACCAATTCCTCATAGCTTCCACCTTGCTAGGATCTGTGGACACACCTTTCTCAGTAATGGAATGCCCCAAATATTCTACTTTATTGACAACAAAAAAACATTTAGACTTCCTAGCAAACAAAGAATTATTCCTCAGAGTAACAAAGACTTGTCTTAGATGAATAACATGATCATCCAAGCTGCCACTGTAAACAAGTATATCATCAAAAAATACTAAAAGAAACTTCTTGAGAAACTGCTGAAATATTGTATGCATAAGACCTTGAAATGTAGCAGGTGCATTAGTCAGGCCAAAAGGCATGAAAACATAATCATAATGTCCTCCATGAGTTCTGAAAACTGTTTTATGAACATCCTCTGGATCCATTCTGACTTGATTATACCCAGCTCTTAAATCTATCTTGGAAAAGATTGAAGATCCTTGCAACTCATCCATTAAATCTTCCACCAATGGAATTGGAAACTTGTTTTTCACAGTATTTCTGTTTAGATCCCTACAGTCAATACAGAGTCTCCATGATCCATCTTTCTTTCCCACCAACACTACAAGACTTGCATAGGGACTACTACTATTTTGTATCACTCCCGACTTTAAGTATTCTTGTACCAACTTGTCAATCACATCCTTTTGGTGCTTGGCATATCTATAAGGTCTCTTATTAACTGGATTAGCTCCTTGTACAAGTGGTATTTTATGATCATGTTCATGTCTAAAAGGGGGCAGCTGCTCAGGTTCCTCAAAAATATCTGAGAATTCCTCCAAAATCTGAACTATTATTGCTGGTAACCCAGGTTGATCTGCATGAGTTGTTAGAGATTGCAGCAATCCTCCATCCTCTGTACATAACTGCATCATTGAAAAATATACTCCTTCCTCCAAAGTTTTACCAATCTGCTGCCTTTTTACTGTCTTAATACCGCTAGATGTAGCCCCTCTTAATACATGCTTCTTGCCCTGAACTTTAAATTCCATAGTCAACTTATCAAAATTCCAAGTGATGTTACCCAGTTTGACCAGCCATAATTCCACACCTAATACAAGGTCACAACAGCCCAATGGAATCAACAACATATCTGAAGTAAATGTAGTTCTTTGAATTGTCCAAGTGATGTTTCTCACAATAGAAGAAATTCTCAATTTGTTACCATCTGCTACTGTTACATTCACAGGATCCATGTTCTCAATCTTACATCCAAACTTCTTAGCCACCTATATATCTAGAAAATTATGCGTGCTGTCACTATCAATCAAAATGTGCAGAGGAAATTTTTGCTGATACCCAGTGACCCTCATTGTTCTGAAATTGGCAATGCCTGTTAATGCGTTGACTGAAATTTGAGGTTCCTCCACCGCTGTTACCTCTTCACTCACATCTTCACTAACCTCCTCCTCATCTAGAACCTCTATGACATGAACTTGCAACTTCTTATGTATTAAACTGTGTTCAGGAGAATATGGTTCATCACAAAAATAACAAAGACCCTTGGCCCTCTGCTCATTCATGTAAGCCGGTGTTAAGCTTTTGCCAGGTCTCACCTTATCCTTACTCTTATCACTCCCCAAATTCAAAGAACCAAATTTATCTGCAATTACTGGTCTAGAACCAAGCACCCCTTTCTGTGACCGCGAACTACCAAAATTCAATGCCTGTGGAACATTAGCAGCTTCATACAATCTTGCCGGCCAATGAAAATGCCTTACTCACAGTGGTTGGTTGAAACATCCACACCATCATTTGTATATCATGTTTCAATCCACCTAAGAAACAACTCAACATATAATCCTCGGACAAATTCAGGCGAGTAATAATGGCATCAAACTCCTCGTAAAATTCAACCACGGATTTCTTCTGCCTCAAACGCATCAATTCAGCCATAGGATCGTCACAAACTTCTCCAAACCGTTCAAGAACCAATTTCTTGTATGCAACCCAAGGAAGATTAGAACAATTGGTAGTTTTATCCATGGTCGTGTGCCATTGCAACGCACGGCCCTCCATGTGAACCACCGCAAGTTTAACCCGCACAACATCGGGGGTATTGTCAATAAGGAAGAAATTATCACATTGATAAAGCCATTGACTCACATTGTCGCCATTAAAACGAGGAAAATCTATGCGGGCAAGTCGTGTACCTCAAGAATAAGAAGAAGAGGGACGTGGCTCACCGTGAGAAATGTGAGACCCCGAACCCGGACTATGATTTTGCGTTAACAAATCTTGCATAGTTTCCTTTAAAGAATCTGCCAGGGTTTGTTGAATGGAACCCACAACTTCAACCAATCGAGCCTCCAATCGCGCTGAGACTCGCTCTTCCATGTCTTTCAACACTTGAGCGTCCATCGCCCCACGGGTTGCGCCAGCCATGATCAACACTCCGAATGAACCGTACAGACTGATACCAATTGTTAGAAAAATTCTTAAAACTAGGAATCGTAACAATTCGAAGAACAAGAGTGAATAGGGATACCTATATGAAAAAGGAATTCGAAGAGAGTACTGTTATTGAATGAGTTTGATACAGAAAAGTTACAAGAATACATGCATAATATTATCCCTCTGTCCTGCAACTATTTAAACTCTAACTTTCTCTCCAAACAATTCTAACAACTAACTAGCTGACTTAGCAAGGATACAAGTCCAAATTTATTATTCTAAAAATTCTTCGTAACATTCATCCACCTGGTACACAACAATGGAATAGTACCACGACCAAAAAATTTTGATCGCACAACACTTGGATTAATGAAGCAACACTAATTAGATTTAGTATTGAACCTTTTCAGATTTATTCACTCCAAAACTGCTATTTTAATTCACTCCAACTCCAACAAATTAAATTAGACCAGCATTCCAGTGACCTAGAACTCCAAATCGCAGGTCCTTGCCAGCCTTGTTGGGAACATAGATCACAGAACTCTTTATAGGCTCAGTGTCTTTGTTGGGAATGGTGGACCATGAAACCAAGTGAGATATTTCTTCAGTTATGTCCAATGCCTTTCTATCCGTAATTAGTTCCATCAGAACTATTCCAAATTCGTACACATCTACTCTGGCATCGCTCTTCTTGTAGCTGCCAAGAAACAAGATTGCAATAATATTACAAGAAAAGGAATAATTAAGCAACCATCTAGCCAGGAGATCTATAAGAAATCACTAAATTTACTTAGAAAAATTATCATGAAACAAGAAAATTGAAGACAGTATAATATTTAAAAGGCTTTCCAAATATACATGCATATTCAGGTGCCATAGTTTTTGAAAAGAGAAACAAGAAAAAGAAAATAACGTTTATCCAAATTTATTCGGAGGAGCAAAACACCAAATAACGTTTTAATTAATTGGAGATGTGACTCTTAGGATCATAAACAAAAAAAATGAATGAATATATATAAAACATTTTGAATTCTGATTCGAGTTAGACATCGCACCGATTAGAATGAAGTTATATGACGTCTTTTTGGCGAGAAGCTTGATCACAGGCACAGCAGCATCAATTTCCGCGTTCTCTTCTCAGTTCTCACAGATGGCGACAACAGTAAGTTGATGTGATGTTTCATAACTACATATTTTTGGTTCTGTTATCGCATCTTTTTTTAAGAGAGTTGTCACATTCTTATACCATACTATCCCACATTTTAGTTATAAATGTTTGTGGTGTTTAAACAACTATATTAAATTAAATTATTAGAAAAATTAAACTAAACTAGACTATAAAAAATTAAACTAATTTTTATAAAAACTAAACTAAATTATATTTTAAGTTTTAATTTTAAAAATTAAACTATTATAAAAAGTAATTTAGTGCATTATAATTCTAAATAAATAATTAATTTATAAGATTAAAAATAATTTTTATTTATTAATTGAATAAAAATTTATATACTTTTCGTAATTATTACTCTTTCAATATTTTTAATATAAATATTATAAAAATTAAAAAAATGTATTATATATGTACAAACTTATCTCTTTATTATCTAAATAATTTTATTTTTTATGCTAAAAAATATTATTATTTTAATAAAAATAATTTACAGATATTTCCTATAAATCTTTTTATGAAAAATAATCTACAAGAAATTTTTGTAAATTTTGCTACAATTTTAATGATCATAAAAAAAATTTCCATGTCAAAATTTACAGACAATATTATAAGAATTTTATTTTGTTTCTTCCAAAAATAAATTTGCAAGTAATGTTTAATAAATGGTAAAAAAAATTTGCAGATAACTTTTCTTGCAGATTTTCCTGTCAATTTTAATCTGCAAGAAAAATAAAAAAATATTTAAATTTATAAGTTTAATATTTAAAAAAAACTTCAACTCCCACATCAATTGAAAATAAAACAATTAAAGAATATATAAGTTAGGACAACACTTACCTTATAAGTTGATTTGTATGGTTAAGTGTTAGGCTTATAATCTACAAGCTTAGAATTTAAAAGATTATATATCACAAGTTAGGGCGTGAAAACAAATGCTTCGGATAAATTCATTGTGATCATTAGTAATTTTTTTAATTTTTTTTAAATATTCTTGCAGAATTTCTTGCAAAAAATTCGCAGGAAACTTTCTTGCGAATTTTTTTTGCAGGAAACTTTTCTGCAATTTTTTTTGCAAGAAACTTTCCTGTGATTTTTTTTGCAAGAAATTTTGCTGGAAAATTTCTTACAAATTTTAAAATTTGCAAAAACATATTATCCACGAAGTTATTACCTGTAGATAAAATTTCGCAAAAAAATTTGTAGGACAACGTTTCCTGCAAATTTTTATGAAAAATTCGCAGGAAAAATCGCATGTAATAAAAAAAATTATAGTAGTGTTAATTCATAATTAATATCAATGATTTGGTAGCTCAATTTAAAAATGTTGATTTTAAATTTGTTTTTTTTAATGTAGTTCAATTTAGTTTATAGTTAATAATAGTTTTATTTAGTTGATATTATAGTTTAGTTCAAACTCCTAGAACTATAGTGCACTAAAGTAGATAATAGTTTAGTTTAGTTTAGTCAATATTTATTTTAGTTCAATTTAGTTTGATGAACTATTTATTATAGTTTAGTTTAGTTTTCTTCTAGTTTAGTTCAATTTAGCAATTTGAACATCCCTATGTTTGATATGACTGTTCAATTGGGTAAATTCATCGTTTATTTCATTATGTTATTCATGTAGTTAAAGTATTTAACTTTTGTATTCATCGTTTATTTCATAACTATGTTATCATGTAACTAAAGTATTTAACTTTCGTTTAACATAGGTATGTGACATAATGATTGTACCAATAATGTTATTAGTAGACATTGGGTTAGATTAAATTTGAATAAATTTATTATTTATTTTGATTAAAATTTAATAAGTTTGGTTAAGTTGAATTTGTGTATTTTTTCAAATTAAATATAATCTAGTATGATTATAAATGAGTTAAATTAAGTTGGCTATCAACATAATTAAATTTATTTATTTATTATAAAATTTTAAAGATTTTATAATAGATGTAAATCATTTAATATTTTGTTGTAAATAAAATGTTATTGATGATAAAACATATAATGATAAAAAGTAATTTCTAAAATAAATTTGTTGATTTTTTATATTATTATCAATTCAAACAACTAATATTGATATAAATAAAATCAATATTTATATATTAAACATGAATATCTATCTTATATGAGGGAGTTTTTAGGAGTTTTTCCTCAACAAGAGAATTTTTCAAATTTTTTTTTTAATTTCTTATCTAATTTAATTTTTATTTATCATAATTATTTATGAATTAAATTTTAATATTTTAAAATTAACTATTCATAAATAGAAATATTATTGATCTATAATATAAAATATTTGTCAAAAATTAAAATATATTTTATATATTTAAAAATATCTATTTATAAAAGTTTTAAATATGATTTATATATCAAACATAATATTTATCTGTATATGCAATTTATTATAAATTTTAGTCATACATAATAAATATTTGCATAGATTATAAAACCATTTTAAAATAAATATTTTATATTACTATAATGTTATTAATCCAAAAATACAATATTAATTGTTGAACAAGAGTGAAAAAGAGTATCATTTTAAACAAATGATCATACTAACTTATTATTATTATTATTATTATATATGATCGAATCAAATTAAATCATGGGTCAAAAAATATATAATTCATTATTATCTAATTTGTATAATATCGAATTTTGATCAAATTAGATTGAATATGAATCAAATACTAAAAAATCTTATTCAAACTTATTTGAATAGATTTAAATCGGTCCGAATTCATTAATCATCTATACTTGCTTACACTCCTAACAACAATCTCTATAGTCTTTGACTTTATCTGGTGAGCCCAAAATGCAACATTATAAGATAGTAGAAGGCTGGTGATAAACACACCTCCATTTTTATATAAATACACCCCTTTTTTTTTTAAATATATGAAATCCCTAAACTATCCTTATTTGCACCTCTCTTCTTTTTTTTTTCCTCCGAGCACCTCTCTTCTTCTTCCTCTTCCGTGCACCTCTCTTTTTTTTCCTCCTTCGCACGCACACCTCTCTTCTTGTTTCTCTTCCGCACGCGCACCTCTGTTCTTCTTTCTCCTCCGCACACCTCTCTTCTTTTTTCTCCTCCGCGCACCTCCCTTCTTCTCTTCTTCGTCACTTTCTTCTCCAAACCATTAGAACTTGTTTTTAGTACAATTATTATATTTTTTTATCTCTCATTAGAACTTTCTTCTCATTATTTTTTGATCATATGCCTGTTAAAGATACCGTGTCATGGAACACGATGATTTCTGGGTTTTTAAGGAGAAGGGATTTTGACGCGGGTTTTAGGTTCTTTAAGCAAATGGGTAGGTCAAAGGCAGTGTGTTGTCGATTTGACAAAGCAACACTGACTACAATGTTGTCAGCTTGTGATGGACTGGAATTCTCTGATGTGACCAAAATGATTCATGGTTTGGTGTTTGTTGGTGGCTTTGAGAGGGAAATTACAGTGGGCAACGCTCTTGTGACATCGTATTTTAAATGTGGGTGTTTTAGTCAAGGTAGGCAGGTTTTTTATGAGATGCTTGAGAGGAATGTTGTGACTTGGACGGCAGTGATTTCTGGCCTCGCGCAAAATGAGTTTTATGAGGATGGTTTGAGATTGTTCCATCAAATGCGTTGCGGGTCGGTGAGTCCTAATTCTTTGACATATTTGAGTGCACTCATGGCTTGTTCTGGTTTACAAGCGTTATTGGAAGGTAGTAAAATTCATGGCTTGCTATGGAAATTGGGAATGCAGTCGGATTTATGCATTGAAAGTGCTTTGATGGATTTGTATTCGAAGTGTGGAAGTTTAGAAGCTGAAAACAAGTTCTAATGGTTTGGAGAAGAACGTGACGAAGAAGAGAAGAAGGAAGGTGCGCGGAGGAGAAACAAGAAGGGAGGTGCGCGGAGGAGAAAGAAGAAGAGAGGTGCGCGTGCGGAGGAGGAAAAAAAAGAGAGGTGCGCGGAAGAAGAAGAGAGTTACAAATAAGGGTAGTCTAGGGATTTCATATATTTAAAAAAAAAATGGGGTGTATTTATATAAAAATGGAGGTGTGTTTATCACCAGCCTGGAAAAAGGGAGTGGAAATAGTATTGGGCTTTCATTATGATTTTGGCAATGGGCTGCATGTACCCAAGTTTTATTGTTACGTTACGAATTCTTGCTTGTGCATTTGACAATGTGGGTTTCCCCAAATTGTGTGTGGTTCTGTGCATATTCTTTCGTCTTTATCTGTTCACTATATTAATTTTGTAGCTTTTTTCTATGTTTTGTACATGAATCTTTTATGTTGTTGTTTGTATCCATATATGTGGGACCGTCATATCCCGTACAATACAAGGCCAAAGAAAAACTTTGCTGATTCAGAAATTAAACTAGTTTCTCTCTTATTATATATATATATATATATATCATCTTCCATCTATTTAGAATTAAAGAAAAAATCGAGATTAGAATTGTGTATCTAATAAGAGAGGGGGGGGGGTGGT